TACCTTGTCCTATTTACGGAACCCCCTAAAGGACATGGGGAATTTTTTTTCTTTTGCGTTCCCTCGCAAAAACTTTTGCGTTCCCTCGCAAAAACTTTTGCGTTCCCTCGCAAAAGTTTGAGGCAGCGTTCCGGAACCAGACGACAATGGAGCAGACAGTACACTCGTACTGTCTGCTAAATGTTAGTTATGTTAGCTTTTTATGTTTATTTTGACCTGTACAGCACTTTGGCAACTTCGGTTATTTTAAATGTGCTCTATAAATAAAATTTGACTTGACATGACTTAAAACATATACAAAAAAATGTATATGTGCTTTATATAACTTCATAGTCTGAGGTTTTAGAAAGCACCAAACGCAGTCACTATGCAGAATAGCAGACAGTACACTGCTCCATTGTCGTCTGGTTCCGGAACGCTGCCTCAAACTTTTGCGTTGTAACGAAAAAGGTTTTGCGAGGGAACGCAAAAATATTGAGAGGTAACGCAAAATTATTGCGAGGGAACGCAAAAGAAAAAAAAATTCCCCATGTCCCCTAGGGGGCTCCGTACCTATTCAGCATTATGGCAGCAGAACTGAAATCTGCGTACCGTGCTATGCTGAGCAAAATTGCTTTGCCAAGGGGAGGCTTTGTTAGTGAGAAGCCCCCCTTGATTACCCAAAACTTCTTTATTTATTCATTTTTGTTACCAAACTTCCATATGTCCAATAATGCCGAACCTGACAGAGGGACAGGGGGAAGGGAAGGGTAGTGGAAAGGAGAGAGATCCTTTAGAAAGAGAGAGAGGGGGGAGAGAGAAGAATAAAGAAAAAAATAAAAGAAGAAGAAGAAAGAAAGACAACAAGACCATATAACCAGCCGTTATGTCTGCAAAAAGGACTCTGTTCCTTGTGGGCAGTCCGAGTGGAGAACCTGTAGTGGAGAACCTTTAGTGGAGAACCTTTAGTGGAGAACCTTTAGTGGAGAACCTGTAGGAGCTCCTGCAAAAGGGCAACTTCAAACCGTGACGTTCCGGTAGTTGCATTTAAACGTTTAACAGTGTCTGCTATAATAACCGTGGCGCTCATTTCATTTCGTTTATTTTGAAACGTGATATGATTTTACAATGTTTACATAGAATGCTTCCTAAACATGCATCATGTTTAAAAAAGGAGTAGATTAAGCATTAGCTTATTAAGCCCCGCCCCTCAGTTACATGTGTCATGGTGGTAAAGGACAATTATTTACAGTAAGACAAACAGTATAACTTTTTATGTATTATTCTTTTTTGTATTCATCAAAAATACTTTTCTTATATTCTTTTTTGAATTGCTGGATGCTTTTACATTGTTTAATGTTTTCACTCTAACGCTAACTGATAAACTGAAGGTTCTTTTTGTTGTTCGAACACACTTAGTTTTTAAATTTAATTTCCCTCTTAGATTATATTTTCCATCTCTATCTGTAAACAATTGTTGTATGTGTGCAGGAAGTAATTTATTTCTTGCTTTATAAGGAATTGGAGCAGCGTTCCGGCAGTTGTATCAATATTAGAGCATTTAAACGTGTGCATAATTCATAATTCATAATAAATCATAATTCATACCCAGTAAAGCTGCCCATAATGAATTAAAAATACAGTGGGGGAAATAAGTATTTCACCCCTTGCTGATTTTGCAGGTTTGCCCACTTACAAAGAATGCTTATTTTTCCTCATCAGATGGTTATCAATTTTTATAAATTCATATGATGTGATTTTCTGGAATTTTCTTTGGGATTCTGTCTTTCACTGTTAGAATGTACATATGATTAAAGTTATAGATCGTTGCATTCTTTGTAAGTGGGCAAACAATGATGAAATTATGTGTCTTTTGTTGATAAATCAAATGTGCTGATATGTTATTTCCCCCCCCAGTTCTGATCAAAGCATCTAAACTCTCAGTGACATATGCAGGGGTTATGACACCAGCATCCAGACACACACACGTGCATCAAAAAATGAAAATCCATCACAAAAGATAACGGCTTTATTCTGTAAGGAGCAGAAACAGACTGACCGGAACTGACCGGAAGCCAGTTGGGTCCAAACCTACGTGCGGATAGCGTCAATAGATGACCCCCCTTTCAACAAAATCGGCCTTTTGTGCAACAAAAGAGTCGCACACACCAGTCATAATCAGATTTGCCGCATGGGTTGGTTGTGTGTGTGTGTGTGTGTGTGTGTGTGTGTGTGTGTGTGTTTAACATGTTTCTTAGGTAGGAAGAAGCTAAAGTAGCCCTCCAAAATCCAGGTTTGCTCAGGGAAAATAAGCAGATTCTATACGTGTGTGGTTTTTATTTTAGGCCCAAATAATTGGAAATTGGCAACACAAAAAAAAAAAGATGATTGAAAGTTTTTAACTGAAATGAAAATGACATACTTAAAATAACATAAACCGAACACGTTTAAATAATGAAGTATATGGCCTGAATTTTTTTTTTTTTTAACTGTTCTGTTATAGTTTCATGGCTAAAATAAAAAATTGAAAAAGTAAATCTTAAAAGAGATTTTTCAGATACAGGAACACCCTGAATTAAACATTAAAACAATGATAGGTTTTTATTTACGTGATGATTCATCAAACCACTTTTAAATTGATGAAGTCTTGACTATCCTGTTTTTTCTTGATTTCTACTAAAAATATGTGCCAAATAATTTTTAAAAATCTATTTTAAAAAACTCGAAATTTAGTATCCAACATTTAAAAAATTCTTCTTTATTCATCACTACCTTTTGTCATTGCTATTTTCATTTTTTGAATCTATAAATCATCAAATTAATTGCCTTTTAAACATAATCTCTCATAAACTTTTAGAGTCATTCATCAGGTTTCATTTCATTGAACTGACCAGTTTGGTTTTACATCGTTCTCACATTTCATTTTGTCTTTTCTTGACTGTGTCTGGAAGTCAAAGTCCCAAAAATGATCCTGGATGTTTTCATATGGAAAAACCATCCAATCAGCAGCGAGTCTCTAGCTCAGTCCTGCCGATGGTCCAATCACATTACAAAATTATCCTCCTCTCTCCTGTTTTCTGGTTTAACTCTTTACTAACTCGGCCGTCCCACGTTAGCCCCTCTCCTCCATCTATTCCAGACTCGAGGAGTGCTTTTAGAAATGTAGAATTTAGAGATACAGTTCAGAGTTCACAGTTTATGTGATTTTTCCACGTAGTGACCTCTTAGTGCCAGCAACCAAAACATTCAATTCAACCCCGGTGTCTTTAAAAAGGCGTCTTAATTCCCTTTGTCCTGCCCAGAAAAAGCACGCATGAGGCTTGTTTTTTGGGTTCTGAATCCTGTCTGAAGCAGGTAGCAACTCCAGTCTCAGGAGTTTATTTTGAATTTATGCTGTGAACAGTAACACACTGATGAAAATGAGAAATATTGAGGCGGATAAAGAGGTCAGCGATAACGGGAATGGTCAAGGTTGACCCCTGGCAATCTTTGGCCTCGTTCAGCAGAAGAAGGAGGACAACAAAGACCCACAACGACGCACAATTGGCACACAATCGGCTGCTTTTTCATGGACGTGCAAGTTTCTGCTTTTGTTCAAAGCCAACAGCGTCAAACACAAAGCACCATAAGGCCCCGGAAACATTGTTTAAACAAATCAAACGCATCCCCTCTAACAGCTGCCATGTTGGAATCCACATGACCTGAGAACTCACTCTCTAACCGTGATCTAAAATTCACAATTTCAACGGTTACATTTTTCAGGTGAAAAAATAAGGTCTTATGTTGTTAAATATTTTTATGATTTTTTCTAATATTCAATTAATTAACTAACAATATCAATAACATATTATATATAGATAATAAAAAAAATAATAAAAAATAAATAAATACATTTTTTTTTTAATTAATTAATTAAAAAAAAAAATATATATATATATATATATATAGATCTATCTATATATATACATAATATAACTAATATAACTAATTGTCCTGTCTTCTATTTGAGGTACAATGGTCTGACTCTCATTGTCCCTCAGTTCCACAGATTGAGAATTATTGCATTTTTTAAATAATAATTAGCTTATAAATCACCTAATCTGGTAGTTGTAGAATAACTCCTGTGCTGAATTAAACCAAATTAATAGCGTTATATAGAAAGAATCCCTTTTTCTGATGTCTGAATTTGTCACCCTACGATTTTTGGGGCTTTATAAGGCATGACAGACACATCAGAAATTACTTTGTAAACTTGAATTATTATTATTACTATTAATTAGTAGGGCTATTACTAATCGGTATAAACAGTTGGGGAAATTTTTCCTCATCAGATGGTTATCAATTTTTATAAATTCATATGATGTGATTTTCTGGAATTTTCTTTGGGATTCTGTCTCTCACTGTTAGAATGTACATATGATTAAAGTTATAGATCGTTGCATTCTTTGTAAGTGGGCAAACCTGCTAAATCAGCAAGGGGTCAAATACTTATTTCCCCCACTTTAGATAGTGTTTTGGTTAGAAATAAAAAAATAAAAAAAATTAATAGGCTTTTTTTTTTTTTTGTACCAATGAAAATTTTTTCCAGTTTACAAAAAAAGGGGAAAAAAAGACAAAAGAGGCAGGAATACCTGAGTTTCGGACAGGTTGAGCTGTCTGGCCAGTTCTGTCCGTTCCCTGCCCACCACGTACTGGCACCTCTGGAACTCCATCTCCAGCCGGTACAGCTGCTCCGCTGTGAAGGAGGTCCGGGTCCGCTTTGGCCGGTCCAGGTCCAGACCTTTGGGCAGGATGATCTCCCTTATGGAGCCTTTGGCATCTGCAAAAAAAAGCGCAAAAAATCAAACATAATGGTTTCCGCATCCTTACTGTTTTTGTTCCTATCGTTATTATCATGGCAAAACACAGACACTGGTAATTTATAATTAAATGTTAAATATAAGTGCAGGATCAAGGAATTTTTTGGCTCACATTGTGTGTTTTCTATCAAAAATGTCCAATAGAAATGCAATAAAAAGGGGATTCCATTTTTTTCCAGCTTTAATCTGAGTTTGATTTGCAGCTTAATTGTATTTGTGGAGCTAATAAATAACATTCCGTTAATATAAACGTGACTGTAATCTCCATAATAATAATAATAAATAATAATAATTTCCATTCACTCCCACAATTTGCCACAAATTCCAAAAATGAGTTGTCATTAAGATTAAATGACACTAATAAAAACTAATCCCTCCGATGGTTCTCAGCCATTTCGAGTAAAATCAGGGTTTAATGAACCTTTATTCAAATCGTGCTGTTTAAAAATTCTAAAATGCGATTTCATAACAGCAAATGATTCATTTATTCTGATTTAATTATCCGAAACAAAGTAAATAAAATAAGAATCTCCTATAAAACCTTTAAAGGAAGACTTGTGTGTGGTTATTTGTTTGTGTTTGTGTTTCTGCTCACACACTCATGAACGCATCTGCAGACATTTTCCTTTTATGATCTCCAGATCTGTTTCAAATCCCTCCGTTTAAAAGCTCTTTATGTGTTTAAAAATTAATCTTTTTAATGCTTTTTTCACCCTGATAAATAGGGTAAAAATGTTGTAACTGTGGTGTGATCCTCGGGTTTGCGCGCATTTAAAAACTATTGGAATGAAATAGATCATATTAATTATTTATTGTAATCAATGGATTTCTTCTTATAATAATAAAACGATTAAATCTATCGCTTTTCTTGCGTTTCAATTCAAGCAATTCTGGACGTGCTATTTTAAATCCACATCGAGAAAAAGAAAAAGAACTGGAAAGAAAAAGGTTTCGGAAGGAGAAAATGTCTATTTCAGCCACTTTTCTCTATTTGGATTCAGTAGAAATGTACGCGTAATTAATGCCCAAAAAGGCGCAATATTCGATCTTAATTCTAACTGAAATTCCTTTGCTTTCCGCTGCATTTTCAGACGGAATGAAGTGTAATTTGGCTATTTTTGAGGCTGGTTTTTTTACCTCTGACCAGGATCCTGCGGCAGTAGTCGGGGTCCCCCGTGCTCCCCCTGTTCTTCTCGCAGTTGTCCATGGTCCCGGAGGAAGAAAAGGAGTCCTGCTGCTCCTTCAGGAAGTTTTTGGACAAACTGCCCTGCTGCTGGGCATCCTTGGCGTCCTTCCCTTCCTTTAGTCCGTTCTTCAGCACCATGGCTTCTGCCTCTTGGTTGTATCTGACCTCCATGTCTCGGTTTATCCTTTTAGATCCTGCGGCTCTGCCTCTTTTTTCCACCCCCCCCTTTTTTTTTTTGGTCAGGTGAAAAAAAAAAAAAAAAGAAGGAGATTATGGAGAATGTGGATCGTTGGAACAGCGTTGGTGTATTCTCCAAAGCTGCACCTTTCCGGAATCTAATGGTCAGCAGCGCAAAAAACGGGAAGCCTTATCGTCACTGACCAAAAAACTCCGCTGCCCAATGACCACAGACTTCTCAGTCCAACTCAGCAGTCAGCCAGTCAGTCAGTCAGTCAGTCAGTCAGAGCCCCCCTTTCCTCGTTACACACACATCAGGCTGATAGATGATCTCCAAATAATCAGAAACACGGATGCGCACTCGCCGTCTCAAATGATTACGGTAATTTTGCGGGCATCCACATTCATGCGTAAACCTCATGAATACGGTAAAAACGGAGTAAACGGGTCCTGATGGAGGATGGAGGTGCCTCTTTTTGTCCCGTCCCCCCTTCAGACCAGAGGAATCAAGACAAATAACTGCTCTGGTTTTGCGTCCCGGCCCCCCCCAGAGGTGCGAGTCCGAATCCGGCCGCAGAAAGTTCCCGTTTGGCTCATGGCTCCGTGCGCAACCACCGGGCGGAAGCGGCCGCTCTCCCCCAGAAAGGGCAACTTTGGTCCGGCTTTTTTTTCCGCTGGATTCCCCCCCCCTGGACGAGTGCATGCGCGCAATTCTGCAATGTGCGCATCGCGCCCTGCGCCAGGCAGGAATCCAGGAGA